CTATAAAAAGCCTCTCCTCTTTCATATATTTTCCCCCCCCCCCCCCCAAAATTTGGGGGGGGGGGGGGGGAAACGACATGTTAACTAAAGTTTGTTCAATGATTAACTGATTCTGCTTCAATGCTTGCTAATTAGCACATGTCAAAGCTGGTGTCTGGCATATGTGTAGAAGCTCTAATTGTCCAAAGCCAAAAGATGTACTGGGAAAGTGATGTGATCAAACCAGCTGGGTGAACAATTACAAAAGAAAACCAACACATTCATTCACTACTATTTTTTACATGCAAATTATGCTTGAGCAGAGAATGATTTTCTCTAATTTTTTAGTTAAAATTAACTGAATTGTTCTTACAAGGGATTCCTGGCTGATAGTCTGTTTACAAGCACTTTATTCAGAGTATAATATTGCAAGTCAGAGATGTGTGACAGTATACAGATGTTACACACAGTGTTGATTTCCTGAGCAGGTATGTCTGTAACCTACGCTGGTTAATTATTATCACTGTAGAAAGATTCTAGCCTACTATAGCTACTGTCTAATGAGAGGTTTCCCATACATTTAAAATTATACAGATACTCATAGAAATGAGTGTGAAGTTCTGAAGGTTGCAAATTTAAAAGCTAATGAAATGCCAGACAACACTGTGTTACACTTGGAATCAAAAGCTTTTGTACTCAAATTTATGAATTCAATATTTACTTTTTGATATTTTCCAGTTTGCTTAAAAGTCATCATCTCCACAAACATTCCCACAAATAAGCTTGTTTTACAAGGTCTGAAAGAAGGAAACAACAGGCGTGCACACATTCCTGAAGCCAATTAAAAATCTAGTTTCACAGAAATTGCTTTCCGACATCCACTCTGTTTTAGCCATTACTTTGACCACTACTCTGCATGCACGATTCCGAGACTTTGAACTAGAGCAAGAGCAAATTGCTGCACCTTGTGGCTGCCATTCAAATGCATGCAATTCTCAAAGAGGCTTTTTGTCAAGAACCTAGAGCTGGATTTAATGGGGCTGGACAAATGTTAATAACTAATGTTTGTGGTTTCATGCTAAAGCAGCCAGATATTCCAGAGCCTTTAATCTGACAGGAAGGACACCTCTCACCCCACTATCAAATAGTATACAACTGACCAGGTCCAAAGGGTGATTTTGTTCCTCGACTTCTGAACCAGCATGGTATAATAAATACAGTTTCATAGTTTCTAGGGTCGGAAGGGACCTGAGCAGATCATCTAGTCCGACCCCCTGCCATGGCAGGAAGAGCACTGGGGTCAAATGACCCCAGTAAGGTGGTCATCCAACCTCCTCTTAAAAACCCCCAGGGTGGGAGCCTGCACCACCTCACTTGGAAGCTGGTTCCAGACCCTAGCCGCCCTGACCGTGAAGTAGCGCCTCCTGATGTCCAACTTAAACCTTCCCTCCGCCAGCTTGTGACCATTGTTCCTGGTCACTCCTTGCGGCGCTCGGGGGAACAGGGACTCCCCCAGCGCCTGCTGATCCCCCCTAACCAGTTTATAACAGGCCACAAGATCCCCCCTCAGCCTTCTCTTTTGAAGGCTGAACAGGTTCAGGTCCCGCAACCTTTCCTCATAGGACCTACCCTGCTATCCCTTGATCATACGAGTGGCCCTCCTCTGGACCCTCTCCATGCTGTCCACATCCCTCTTAAAGTGCGGCGCCCAGAACTGGATGCAGTACTCCAGCTGCGGCCTGACTAGTGCTGCATAGAGGGGGAGGATCACCTTCTTGGACAACACAAAAATCTTAATATCCTCATGTTCCAAATATAACACTGTACAAGATGTGTCAGGGCCCATACCCCATACATTAAAGGCACCCTCCTATGACTCCCTAAGCCACCAAAATGTTAGAAACATTTAAAAAAAAAAAAATCACAAGTACTTTTGTTGTGCAGCTCCAGGTAATGTTCCTCTGAACATTTCCAGCACTAGTCTGGATGTTAAATATCTGGTGACAAATGAGCTGTTTGTCAGTAAGTAATTTGTATAAATGATATAAACACACATTAAGCTTCTTGCTTACCTTGAACACAACCATTTTACACACAACACAAAAATCTTCAGTCTTAAATCAAATGAAATTTTAGAACCCAAAGTGTACACAAACAGCCATAGCAAATTCAAAATGACAGATAGCATTGGACATTTGTGAGGGGCCTACAAAATCCTACGGCACAGGCAGGCTTTCCAGCAGTGTGGTTTTCCTTGTTCAGTATTTATTATAGTTATGCCTGCCTCAGAATAAGAACTAGAAAGGGATTAGGCAGCAAGGTAATATCATTTCAGCTCTGATTCAGTAACTGTTTATTTTGCTGAAATGTTTTTGCTGCAGAAAGTAGCCAAGTACTCAGCAAGTCACATATTCCACCAGTGCTACAGGAAGGAGCTATTTTTCCTTTCTTTAGTGGAAGGATCAGTGTATAAAGCTTGTTACTACCTCAAGACCCTTGCCCTAATGACAAGGAGTGCTACTATCACTTTAAAATGGATGCATGCATCTTACCTATATTAAGCTATTAACCCCTTACTGTTCTCAGAATATGCACTTATCTTGACAGAAAATCCACATATCTGAATGCAAATTAGATCACATGAGAAAAAGATGTTTTGTGGATAACTCTGAAGGCCACTCAGCTCCGGAAGGGTTAAAAATAGACCATGTGGAGAAGGGCAGTGGAGGGCTCAGCTGGAAGGCAGGCAGCCCTCTCCCTATGTTCCACTAATTTCCCAAATTGGGGTACACAAACCCCTGGGCGTATGCAAGACATCTCTGGGAGATATACGGGAGAAACTGTGTAATGGCGGATTTAATTTTCATTTAAGGGGCATTTAAGGGATTAAATAATGGGCATTTAAGGGGTTAAAATATAAAATGTATGCTGGTAGGGGTACACGGGCTGCTGGTAAATCTGGAAGGGGATATGCAATAAGAAAAAATTGGGGAACCTCAGCACTAGACCACTTGGGATCTACAAGGAATGCTGGGTCCCCCAACACCCTGTGCTCTCAACTGCACAAAGATCACACTGGAGAGACAGGAGCAGTTAACCAGCTATCCAGTCACATTGGCTTCTAGGTCTCAGTCTCCTTATTCCTTTGTTCTCCCAAACTAACTCCTTCCCTTCCATTGTCCTTGTTAACACTCCTGCCCCATTAGTTACATTTTTGTTTATCAGGAACATAGTAATGCCATAAACCAGTATTTCCCAACTTTTTCCAGTCCAAGGCACACTTACATTAATAAAATTTTTTCACACCTGTTAAGGCATTCCCCATCCTCATACTTATTGTAGCTCATTGCCATGGCAAAATTCTGTGGCACACCTGTTCATTTCTGATGGCACACTTTTGTGCCGTGGCGCACTGGTTGGGAAACACTGCCATAAACCCCCAGTCCCTGGTCATCTGGCTTACATACCCCTTTTCCAGCACTTGCTATGGGACAGACTCGTATGTGAATCTGGACAGCACCCAGCACATTTTGAGACTGCACAGCATGCTGTAAAGCAAGTTGGTCTCATAAATGTCCTTTGTAATGAAGTCTCCATCACAGAAGCCATGACTATTAGGACTAATGGGCAACTGTGCTGCCAGACTTTTAACAATAATGGCCAAATAGGCCAAAGAAACTCAACTCCTATTTCATTCTTAGAAAAGGCGACCCCTTCAGATGAGTGCCGAGGCAAATCGCTGGAGTTTATGCAGCATAGACTGCATCTATCCTGTGGACAGATGGCAGTGTGCAACACTGTCAATCCAACATCTTTCATCAATACTAAGTACTCTTTAGCTTCAGTTTACTTCCCCTGCTCCTTCCCATGGAAAGTTAGTCTTACTAGCAGACCTACAACATTCAACTATTTTGAAATAATTGTCCTTGTTAAAAAGGCAGCCTACAATAACATTTTCTACATATTACTAAGAAGCCAATCCATGAAATTACAGTACTATGGCACTGGGCAAATGAACACTGCTTTCAGCTGCACTGAAGCTCCTTATAAAGGCTTCCATTCTACATGCAGTGCACTAAAACCAGATTTGTGGCACCAAAAACAGCTCTATTAGAAGAGCGCACAGAGTTTTAAACTAACAAAAATCATGGAGTTCAGGGTTTAAGGAGGCCATTCCTGCCTGACCACCTTAAATATTTGTGGTTAGATCTGGCAGCTTCTTTGAAACCAAACACACACACACTTACATTCTCAGGGCAAGCCTGCTGTCTGTAACTGCATACCACTTTGGGAATGGGGAAATCAGGCAAGCGTAACTGCATAATTAGTCTAACATACAATCAACCTTTTCATTTCAATGTTTCTGCTGAAAACCCCTGCTACTCCCCTGAGCTCTGTGCCATCTTAAACATGTCCACTCGGGAAGGAGACGTGAAAGATGATAGCACTGTGTTGACGAGATTTCACTTCCGAGTTACTTTGTCATGGCACTATATCACAAGATATTGCGGCATGTCGCACAGAGGCTCTGTTGTACTCCGTACCATCCCTGTGCAACACTGGAAGCCAGATTGTGTCAGTGCTCTATTAGGATTTGCAGGAGACTTCAACTACAACTACTTCTGAATTTCCTCTTGGTACAAAATTTTGGGTCTATATGCTTGAATCCTACACAGAACTCTGCAAGTGCTAGAGTACAACGTCTGTTTTTTGTAAAAAGCAGGCTTATACAAATCACTGACTCTTCTTCTAGCACCTCTGTTTTCAAGACACTGTCATCTATACTCCTAGGAAAAGAAAACTGAAATAATTCCAAGATTTATCAACATCTTAAGAATGCAAGGAAGGTGCTCTTAAACTACAAGAACGTTCCTCTGTCTACATGGAATCACAAAGACTTTAAAATGTTAGTTGGTTGTGTACAAGATATTTTATTCATTATTCATATTTATTTCAACAAAATATCCTCGTGTCCCCAAAAGGATGGGGAATGCAGGACTTTTCTAACTTAACTGCTGGAAGTAAAGCTGCATGCGTGAAAATGATTTACAGGGTTAGGGTGATTTACAGGGTGATTTACGGTTCCTTTTAATGCCTTGTAAAACTCAGTATTATAAAAAATACAAATGAGCAAAAACTAGGATCAGTGAGCAGTCTTTCCTTTCCATGTCTGCTACCATCAAAGTGCAGGCCAGTGCTATGGACAGGGTATCAGGAAAAGAAGGCCCCGGAGGGGGGGGGGGGGGTTGGGAATCAAACTGTCCTGAGCTCATAGTCCTGAGCCAAGTGAAACTAGCAGTAACAAGTGGCTAATCAAGCTGTAAGTCATTTAATGTTAGATTAAAAAAAAAAATTACATTAATCAATCATTTACCAATTAATATACAAAATGACAAACAGAAGATTTCAAATTTATTTTTGGATTGTGTGCACTGATCCATAGATTGTAAGGCTGGAAGGGACCTTGGAAGATCATCGGGTCCAGGCCCCCGCACCAAGCAGGAAAGATAACTGGGGGTCAGGTGCCCCCAGTGAGGTGACTGTCCAGTCTCCTTTTGAAGATTTCCAAGGTAGGTGATTGCACCACCTCTAGAGAGGGAACTTATTCACAGTCAGGGTGTCCAGACTGTGGAAGAAGTTTTTCCTAATATTAAGAGTGAAATCGATCGTCCAGGAGTTTATGGCAATGCGTAGACAAGAAGAATGCTAGACAGGTGCTAGAGGAAGAGTCAATGATTGCGTAGATAGGAAGAATTTTTAATAGAAAAATTACTGTAAAAAACCCCCTCAAAGTTTAGTAGAGAAACTCAGTAAACACTACCAGAAGGCACACCACCTCTAAAATTGATTATCTATTAGTTTGATTTCATCCGTTAATTATTTTTAATAAGCTGCACTAACCTAACTTGACATGACATGAAAATGATTTTCCAGAGAAAGGAAGAGGTCTATAAAGCAAATAATGACACCCCCAAGAAACCCAACTTTCCCTTAGTCAAAATACTGGGGTAGGCTTGGGAGTTCATAAAGTATTACAGATCACAAGTGCTTTCCTATAACCTTTTACTTAAAACATCTACAGTGGCTTAAACGACTCCTACTGAAGTTAATGAGCCTTACACGTGTTAGTAATGGTAGCCAGATGACCACATAATAAAGCCAATTATGTGTATTGTCTTTGTATGACCATTTTCAAAAAGACTGGCCACTTCAGCAAAATAAAACTGTTGGGGACAGAGGAAATATATGGAGCCTTTTTTTCTCTAACAATGGTTAGAGAATCCCAAGGCCTTGGTTCAGTAAAGCACTCAAATGCATGTATTACTGTATACAACCAAGATGCCCTATTGATTTCAAGAAGCCTATGCATTTAAGTATTTTACTGAATTAGGACCTAGGAAAAGAAATTCCCTTTCCACTTACAGCTGAGGCACTCTAAACTGTCCTAAACATGCTCATTCAACTTCAGTGACACCCTGAAGTACCTCAGTGTTGCTTTACATTAAAGTTCTCTTTACCTCAAAGATTTTAAGAGGTTTTTCTGCAAAGTTTATACTGCAAAAAAAACCAACTCTCTCTAAAATGTATTTTCCAAGTATAAGCAAAACAAACTAGGATAGGGGAAATCTGGGACATACATGGGAAGAATCCATCAGGACTACCCAAGTCCTCAGTTTTCTTCTACTTTGTATACCATTATGATTTATACCACTGGGTATATCAAGGGGTCCCATCATCCATTCAGCGATGCAAACACAAGGAAACCCCACAAATATTACAGCTGTTCTTCCCACACATGGGACCTCTAAATTACTCTGCTTTGACATGTGTGCAGAGGTTTAGAGACGATTGCTAAATCAACTGACTGATATATAATGGACAGATTTCTTCTAGCTCAGGGAATGAAGAGGAGAGCATGTTTGTGCTGAAAAAGAGGGAAAGATTTCTCTTGTGCTGAAAAAGAGGGAAAGATCATCTGACCAAATTACACCAAAACGGATTCTAGTCCATGAATTCAAGTAGCACTGAGGCACTACCTTGGGGAGGCAGAGGTATGGAAAAGAGGAGCAAAATTACTGGGGCCACTGACAGAAAGCATGAGCTCATCAAGATTTCCAGCAGACACTATCCCATAATCTACCCTAGATACAGTACCTCATATAATCCATAGGAAACCATTTCAGAAAATCATATTAATTTGTAAGAGTCAAAGCAGTAGATTCCATTCAACCCCAGCTTAGTCCGAGTAGTATACTTCAGCAGAGATTTTGTACATGCGAGAACAATGAAGGCACACTTACCGTCTTTCCCCGTTATATTCAAACTTTATCCTTACATCGTTCTGCCAAGAGAGAAGAAAAAGACGGTTAGCTTCTCAAACTCTTTGGCATGTTTCATACATGTTATAACAATGCACACAATGCAGATCTTTGAGACCTGAATGTGGAACATGCCAAATTACAAGAGTAATATACTATATTTTCCCACATACAACACATACTGGAATATAATACATACCTTGTTTTTGAAAGGCAGAACGAAGAAAGATCTTTCCTTGTAGTAAATACCTGAGTGACAACAGCTAGAGAGCAATGTTCCCTCTAAGGTTTAGTGATCTGTGAGCAACCCTGACTGGGAGTGCATGGGTACCTCAGTGTGCTCACCGCTCCCCCCAGCCATGCAGCAACCTGTGGCCAGATTGAGGTGGGTGGCGAGCGGCTGGATGTCAAGCCGGCAGCGGCAGCACGGGGAGTGTCAGTGGGCCCTTGCTATGGCACTGGGCAACCCCCACCCCAAGCCGGCACCCGGGGGACCATGGCCCCCTA